ACACAATTCCAGAAGGTGTGACAGGCAGAATGGGCACCAAAATCTTTTCATTCTAATCCCTTTGAATATAAATTTATATGGTAAAGGGGAATTAAGGCAGCCAATGGAATTCAGGCTGCTAATCAGCTGACCTTAAAATGATTAGTCTGGGATATCTGGGTGGGCTCAATGAAATCACAAGATCCTTAAAAGTGGAAGAGGAAGGCAGGTCAGAGGGAGAGATGCTGGCAGAGCTCCGAGCATGATGGTGTGCAGACTAGACCTGCTGTTGCTGGATCTGAAAATGGAGAAAGGAACCATGAGTCAAAAATGCCAGTGTCTAGAATTTGGAAAATGCACTGGATTCTCCCCCCCTAGCTGCTAGAAACACAGCCCTGCTGACACCTTAATTTTAACCTAGTGTCACCTGAGTCATCTACAGAACTGTAAGATAATTTGTGCAGTGTTTTGAACAAAACAAATGATAAAGACCTAAGTAATATAGTCAGAGGCCTTTGAAGAAACATTTAAATGGAGACCTAAATCCAGGTGAACATCACAAGCCTGTGAATTCTTTCCACCCCTTTCCTCTTCTGAAATTATGCTGTTTGGGGCCAGCCAAGATGGATACCCCACAACCCTTAGTACTGTACTCTCAAGTATCTTTTCTTTATCCACTCCATCTACGTAGGTATTTTGTGTGCTTATGGGAATTAAAGCTTTGTCACTGCTAATGATAAGACATGGTGCGGAAGGATCAGCCTGAAAATGATCTTATCCTTTAGGCTAGTTCAGTTGGGCCTGGGACCTAAACTTATTCTGAAACTCTGAAGGTGGGGAATGGAGGATTTTGTGCTGGACAGAAACTGTGATAGCTATAATAGGTTATCTTGCTTAATAAGGTAAAAATGCTGAAAACAATGAAACCCCAAAGTTTCCCTCTTAAACTACACTAAGAAGCTCCTTATGTAGTTCTTTAAATTTCTCAACCAATTAGCCAAGTATCCCGTGGTAACTTAGAAGAGCAGTCTTCAAGTTGGAGTTCACATTTTCATGGGCCCACAAACCAGATAAACTTCACAAAGGCTATGAGGAAATAAACTGCTGTGCCAATTTCTGTTGTTGCCTAAAATTAATCTGAAAAGATTAATTTCTTATATTCCTCAAGCATTCTGGTTTTGCTGATGCTTTGTCCCAGAACACCAAAGACACAACTCAATTTATTCAAGGCACCATATACTAGTGAGGAATTTCTTATATTCCTTAAAACTTCTGCTGGGGTGAAGAGAAGTTTCAATACCCATTATTGTTTTGGTCAGTTTTGATATTTTAAGAATGCCAAATTGTCTGATAACCAAAAATTGGGGATTTGAGATTATGGAATAAACAGAAGCTGTGAGATAGGCTTACTTCACCCAGGCAACAAAAGCATCTAGTCACTGTACACCTTCCTCCAGTATTCCTTTTAAGAGTTTACTAACCTGGTGGTCTGAAAGCCAGCTACTCATCTGGATATTTAAAAGTGGAGTTCAACCTTACTTCCAACATATCACCATTAAACTGCCAGACAAATGGAATACGGGGCAAGTTTCCTAATTTCTTGACCCTTCAGTTTTCGTTTTTGTTGTATTACTGGATCCTGTGAATGCCTACTTCCTGCTTATCAACTCTTTCTACCAGATATTTGGTAATATACTTATACCGTAGAATCCCATTGATACTAGCAAATTAATGCTAACCACCACTGAGCCTGCCTCATCCAGCAATCATTCACCATGGGCATTTCCACTGTTTATGCAAAACCTATCAAACACATTTTTCATGGACTGGCTTGCTGTTTTTGGATGAATGGGCATAAATGAACCAAACAGCTCAAACCCCTGCCCTCTTTGAAGGTAGGGACAGCATTTAAAAATACAAAAATGCCAATTCAGGTTTAGGGATGAGCCTCACTCACATCCTGCAATTTCTAAGATCCCAGGTGATTCTACTAGTCCTCTATTAGGAAAATGACCCAGGGGAGAATAGAGTATGCAGCTAAGTAGAGCTCTTTTGACTTGACATTGGTACAAAGACTGAAAAGGAAACATGATTAAATCATGTGGTTATGTGGACAGAAACTTTTCCAAACAAATGTCAAGTCCATGAAAAGCCTGCAGAATAATAGTACAGTGGGAACAATGGTAGGTACAACACTTCAATAAAAGGTCATTGTATCAAGATGATTATTGAATACTCAAGGAAAGATGTCATTTTAAAAGAAGTCTATTGTTGTGACTAACCGCAATTAAGAGCACAGAGATAAGAAATGTTTAGAACATGGCACAAACTACATCCTATTTAGACAGAAATTTAGGTATCAGTGAAAAAAAAAACAAAACACACATGTAAGTATACAAGTTTCACAATTCTGAGACGGAGAACTAGAAAATCTCTTGGCCAGAATGACCCTGAAGACTATAAAGAGCCAACCCCCAAGGAAACCCCCGATTACACACTCAATGTATTAGGTGCCAAACGTTTACCAAAGTTATCTATGGAATACTGCCTAAAGTTGGGAGCGAAGAAAACCCCGTAGATTCAGCAGCAAATATAAGATTGGCTCTAGCTGAAAGGTGCCATGCCAAAGCACAAGTCAGCTATAAAACTTAAGAAATAGCCCTAGCTGGTTTGGCTCAGTGGATAGAGTGCCTGCAGGCTGAAGGGGCCAGGGTTCGATTCTGGTCAAGGGCACATGCAGGGGTTGTGGGCTCGATCCCCAGTAGGAGGCAGCCAATCAATGATTCTCTCATTATTGATGTTTCTCTCTATCCCTTCTCCCTTCCTCTCTGAAATAAAAATATATAAAAAAAACACTAATAAAGTATATGCAATGTCTGTTCTCTAGTCCTACTTAGTCTCTTACCTCCACATGAATTCTAATGTTGAATTCTAATGTTCTGCTTTTTCCTATGGCTCATTTTGTAAAATGTATGGCAGCAGTTACATTCTTAAATACAAATATCTACAGACCTCTCAAAATGCTTGCTGTAGCATCCAGCCCTACTCACACCCCAAAGATTCTAATGCATCTGAAAGTTCCAGGACTTTATATTTTGAAAAATATCCTGAATTGTAACACCTAATTGTAGTGAAGTACCTTACCTTGCAAGTGTACAATCATTCTAGAATCCCAGCAGGAGTCTTCACTGGACCTTGGCCGTTGCATTCTAACTTTGTGTTGAAGGATGTATCTGAACTTGATGTACTTACTGTCTAAAGCCAGTAAGTGGCTCAAAGGGCATACATACTTGCTTTGAATGTAGACAACTGTCATCTACTCTCACAAGTCCCAGCTCCCCCAATCTGTTGAACAGTGGTTTTCCTAGAGCAGTGATGGCGAACCTATGACACGTGAACTCATTTTTTTGGTTGATTTTTCTTTGTTAAATGGCATTTAAATATCCTATATAATAAAAGCCTAGTATGCTAAGTGTCTGGTTGGCTGTTCAACCAACCAAAGCATAATATGCTAATGATATGCTAAGGCCGATCAACTGCTTGCTATGATGTGCACTGACCACCAGGGGCAGACTTTCCGACTGGTAGGTTAGCTTGCTGCTGGGATCCCGACTTAGGGAGACAGGCCGGACACGCCCTGAAGCCCTATAGGCCCTCCCTGACTAGCCAACCTCCCATGTCTCTCCCCACCGTGGTCATGCACCAGTGGGGACCCTCAGCCTGGCCTGCGCCCGCTCACAAACCAGGACCCCTCGGGGAGAGCTGGTTTTTGCCCAATCCCACAGGCCCGGCCAAGGGACCCCACTGGTGCACAAATTTGTGCATCGGGCCTCTAGTATAAAATAAATATCAAAAATATAAGTCTTTGTTTTACTATGGTTGTAAATATCAAAAAATTTCTATATGTGACATGGCACCAGAGTTAAATTAGGGTTTTTCAAAATGCTGACACGCCAAGCTCAAAAGGTTCGCCATCAATGTTCTAGAGGATTACATCTCTATTAAATATACACTTGATCTTAGCCAATAGTCCAAGAGGCAATTTAAATACAGGAAAGTGATTCCTTTAAAGATTAACAGCCTTTCAAACCTTTAGCCTATGTAAATTGAAGTCAAATTGGTTTATGTTAGCAACTTCATAGTACATATACTTTATAAACATGTAAACAGGTCCATGCTCATTTTCTCTATGAAGTGTACATTCTCCCTAATTTCAGGCCAGATATAATCTTGCAGTCTGAATGGAGATATTGCACTGAACATTTGATTTGGTACCACTTGGTACCAAGGTAAGGCTTTTATTCACCTCTACGCCATGCTCAACACTTCTCATTAATGACCAAACCTGTATTTGCAATGTCATTTACTTTAGACTCAAAACTACACAGGACTGCAATTTTGATAGTTGTTTTACCATCAAAAGTACAACCTAGTATCTTATTTTTAAAATATTGACTATTTTTTTGAACACCCATAGATTTTTTGTATTCTGAGTTGCTCAGAACATATTCAATTTTAAATATAGTACAGCTCCACTAAGAAACATTCAAACCTTAGTTATCAACAAACGTTTGGGTATTTAATAAAAGCCAGTTAAAGACGTTTCATACTTTGGTTTCCTCTTAGCTTAAACGTCAACTTATCAATAAGTAAAAATAACTAAACTTATAATTTGTACTTGGAGCTCTTCAACATATTAGGAACCAAATCAATCTCCAAATTAAGCAAATTCAGGTGTGATTTAAACATCAGATTATAAAAACTACGTAGAAATTAACCTTTCTAAACAGACTGACATGAATTTAAATTCAGAGCCCATTTACCAGTTTTATATTCTTCTTGCAAAGAAATTTTGCTGATTTTACTTCCTCAATGGTGAAATTAGGATACAAATACAGATGCCATAGACACTAAATTATTAATACAGGTAAATCACTTTGGTGTTTGTTGCTGCTTCCTGTATTACCTCAATAGGGATGTTTCATTTACTGTAACAAAAAAGAAAAACTGTCACAACTAAGAAAAACTTTAAAATTTTTATTTCATTATGTTCATTCTGGACAATTTCTCAACAAGCAGTTTTAAAATACATAACTTTATTATTTACATTAAATGCACTAAACAATTCAAAGAGCATGACTAAATTGCAAATACATAAAATAGGCATCTCAATGCTGTGTCTCTGTGGTTCAAATAGGAAAAACTAAGCCTTTTAAAACAAATTTTCTATGGTCTTAAAATTGATGGGATACATCCATCTTATCCTTTAAAACTCACAAAGAATATTACATTTTACTAACGTTATCACTAAGACTACAAAGTGTATTAATTTATCAAAACAGCCAAGTACATTAATTCACATTTCGAGAGTGAAGACTCAAGTAGGTATTGTATGTGTATTTCCAGACATACACCAAAAATTAGCCTGTATAGAGCTATCCTTACCTTTACTGCTCAGCCCAGACTCCTAACTTATCTTAATGCTAGACAAACCACACCAGGATTGTCAGTTACTAACAAGTTATTTCATTAAGTACATAAGCTTTAACATGACAAAGAATTGTTCTCCAGGCAGCTGCAGGTTGCATTTTGTTAGGAATCATTCTGTAGGACTCTTCCAAGTGTAGGGAAAAACCCACATCTGGCTTGCTCTTCTTAAGACATGTTTGCCTGTAAAATAAAGATCTCAAAGAAATTTTTAGTAAAATCACTATCTCACAAAGGATAATTTGTAAAACCGTAAGTGCTTTCCTTTTAAACATAAATTATAAGTTTGTACGTGCATATGTAACATGCGAAATACTAGGAAGAAGTTTGTATTTTTTTCTGAGTTTTAATGCTCTCAAACCTGAAGCAATGGGTCAGTACCTTAAGTCTTAAGCAATTTAAAGGTTAAAACAGTAAAAGGCCACTCTCCCCAGGTCAATGAGAAATTTTCAGCTACAACCAACTTGTTCACTTATTTGTATCAAAAAATGGCTAAATTAATGTCAACCTTTATATTTGCAGTCTTCTGTTAGTGTCTAAGAAAGTGTTCAGCCCACTGAAAACCCCAAAAGAAATTATACTGTTAACTTGTTTAGTAGATATTAAGTCTTGATTAAAAGTCCTGTTAAGTTCTGAACACAAGTACTAGAGGTGAAATGTCTAGGGAGAAAGAGTTAACCATTTTAAGATTTTGTTATTAAAGTTTGAGTTACATTTTAGCATATTAGAGAAATCATCACTGTTCCACTTTAAACCACAATGCTAGAGGTATTTCCCCCAAAGCTTTAAAATACAATTATATGGTTTGGTACATGTAAACATCACTTTTTCTCCTTATAACCACAGCATAGTACGCTATGCTAACATTATGTAACTTTACAAAATATTTAAAGAAATGTTTGTCAGAAAATAACCCCAAGCAGAATAATTTCCAGTTGGTTTTTTTTCATAACACAAAGGTTTAAGAACACTCAGGGACAATTAGATTTGTTTTATAAATCACTGCATTGTTCTTACTATTTTCTCATTCTGAAAATTTATACCTTTTAATCAGCTCCAGAACTGTGAAACTCTTACCTTTCTATTCAGGGATCCATAATTAAACTCCTTTAATTTCAAGAGGCTTAAATTTTCTTATTAGACTTACTATATTTTTTAAATGTTTTATAAACTTATCAGGTGGTATAATAATGTTATAGAAATTTGTTTCCTATTACTAAAATTTAGCACAGGCACAATTTTAACAACCCATCTTCAAATTTGATCATTCCTAAGTTAACCCACATTTTTCTACACATAAGAAACATAAACTAAAGACAAGACACATTAAAAAAAGGGCAGAAATGTTGGATAAAATACTGTAACTGCCACTTCTTAGGTTCTACTCCAGTGACGTAAGTTACATTAGCCTAGAATTGTTGCAAAATGATTTTCAAATTTCCACCCAACTTCTACACTCTTGGTGTTAGAGACATGTACGCATACACATACTTGTGACTCCATCTGGCATCAGTTTGTCTTGTTTTCTTATTTTTAACTTCCAGAAAGCAGAGTCTAAGGATCACTAAAAGTTTTTACATCATTAAAAATTACCAGAGAACTAGTACATAACCAGTTAACAGTTTTATCATGAACTGGTAACATTGGTAAAATATTTGTTTACTAGAAAAAAGACAGTCTCCCTCACAAATCTAAATTCCATGCTTAAACAACTTTCTTTATACACTGCTTTAAACAGAATGAAATTTTTACCAAATTTAAAAACTTAAGTAGTGTACAAATATCATAATTTATTAAATTTTAAAATAAAACATTAAGAAAGCAAAGAGGCATATCCTAATTTTACAAATTATTGTGCATTTATCAAAGTAAATAGCCTTTATACAGACAGTCATTATGGAATGCTTGATAACCAAATAATCAGACAAAAAATATTATAAACATAGTAAAATCTGACATGCAATCCTAGTAGTGAAATGTTTTAGTACAAAAAGATGAAATCTGATTGAAGAAACAAAGTTACATATATAAACTTCACACTGACAAATTAAAATTGCACTTTTAGTACTTTTTATCTCTGGAACATTTAAAAGTGGAAGGTGAATCTTCAGTAATATTTAATTTTCAAAATCTTCTGGTCACAATCCCCACCAAACTCAACAGGCCGGGACAAGTGCAATACCATATAGAAACACAGCATTGCAACTGATCCCAACCTGTGTAGAAAGGGGTTTGATTTTCCCTTACTTTTCTACAGACTTTTCACTACCACAGTCAGTTTTGCATGGATTTGCACAGCAGAATATCACACAGCTGGATGCAAACCTGCAAAACTAACCATAGAACAGTGTTCAGTAACTGGACAGTTTGACTGGGCGACAGGCCGAGGCTGGAGTTCTACAGCTAGCAGTACTTTAAGTGCTCATAATGCAGTAGATAACTAAACACTACCTGCACTATAAGCACTTTAGTGCTACAGAAGCTGTCACATCAGACACACCAGGCGGATTCTACATCGATACAATAAAAGTACACAAAATTAGTAAAAATTACTTGAAGGAAATAGCAGGCCACCATCAGTTTTGCATAGATTTGCACAACTACATTCTTCTTGTAGTGCAACTATGCAAAACTAACAGAGGACTGCAAACAAAAAGCATTAAAACACCTATATACTTGCTTGGCTTGGCTTGGATGAAAACATAACTTCTTATGCCAGAAGGAGCACTTAGGGCAGTAGATGCTAATCTACTTCACTATCTGCACTAGATGCACCTTAGAACAAAAAGCACTCAACACCAGCAGGCCCTGCGCTTTAAAGCCCACCAATGGCTCCCCGAGGCAGCTGTCACCATAATGCTACAAGTGCCTTCACTGCAGTAGATGCACATATCACTACCTGCACTGTAAGCACTTTGACATTACTCTGACTGGTCACAATCTTCAGGTTTTACAAGGTGATGTTCTCTTTATTCCTGCTAAATTTTAAATAAATAATTAGAATAACACCTCAAACTCTTACAGGCTATGAAACATACAAAATTTAGCATAATCCTTAATGGGGAAGAGAAAACGAGTCCAATTACCTTAAACCCGTGAGTTCCATTCAGAAGCACATTTAGACTTTAAAAATAGAGAACTCTTTTTTTTTCACAAGACAATCATAATTAATCATCATTCTAATACCGTAAAAGAAAGTGGTGGCTCTTCCTTTACCTTCCATTCCCAAAGGCATACTTACAAAATCAAAATCAGATTGCAAATAAATGAGAATATAATTTGACTCATGTACCTTTTAGAGGAAATCTTCACATCCACGTGGAAAAACATCTTTTCTTCTGCTTCCAATTAGCAATTATTTGGTAAACTAATTCATAAAATTACTGTTCAGACTATACTTCAAGTTTATCAACTGGTCGATCTTATATATTCCACTTAATTTTTAAATCTTGGGAACACTACAGATTAGATTTTATCATCCAACTTAAAGCAGTTTTAAAATTACATTTGTAAACTGTGCATCAGTTTCCAAAGATTTATAAAGATATCTGGATTGTACTTTTTACTAACTTAAAAATTAGCTGACCCAGAGTTAATTATCTAGAAAATGTAAATGGACAAACTACCCATTTCACCCCTTGAAAAACCCAATTACATCTTAATTATTCAAATTAAAGTCAAGAGAAAGTTATTTTAAAGAAAAGTTAAAGAAAATTAGAATACACTCACCCACTTGCGAAAACTTCGTTTTCAGCAACTATCCTTAGGATAAGCTCTTGGCGAAGTTAGGTCCACGTGTATGAATGACTGGGATGGAGGGAAAAGGGAAAAAACACAAATTTACTACCACTATCCAGATCCCTATTTAAATGTGTTCTTGTCCAACCCCTTTATAAAGTCAATTACAGTCATCAAAAAACCCAAGATAGCCAAGCAACACTAGTGGAGTTTAAAAGACCAACAATGTATGGGTGAAAATTCGTAAGAAAATAAAGTTGAAAAACCCACAAGTATTAGATCCACATCTAATTTTAAAAGACCCTGAAAGACTCCAGCACGATCCACAGCAATCTTAACCTCTATCGCTCAGCTCCGACGAGGGAAACGCAGCGCAGGGACTATTCTTCCCCACCCCTCCCCCATTCTAGACCTCGTGGCCGCAGCCGGGATAAAGAGTTGTCTCCCCCACGCCGTGGTCCGGGCGGCGCGAGGCCGATTCTCCCTCGTGGCGATACTGCCTCGACGAGCCCGCCCCTCTCCAGCTCCCGTCCGCGGCTCCGTTCACGAACGGAAAAGGCGGCACGGGCACCGGGGGCTGCAAAGTGCCCGCCACGCTCCTGGAGCTCAGGCCGGCGGCACATGTCGCACAAGGGGGCGCGCGGCCGCGGTTCCCCGCGCGGCCGCCAGGGGGCGGCGGGTCAGAGCCGAGTCCTGCCGGACGCGGCCCCCCCCCGCCCCCCCCAAACCGTTTCCCGGCGGCAGCCTCGCGGCGACCGGCGGCGCCGAGGCCCGAACGCGGCGAGGACCCGGGCGCGCCGCCCCTCCTTTGTGTCCCCCCAGCCACCTCCCCCCCCCCCCAGCCCGGCCCAGAGGGGCGGAGGCTCCGCGACTGCGGTGCCCGTCGCACGCGGCCCGAGGCCTAAGCCGGGAACAATCGGCGGCGGCGCGCAGTCGCCGCCATGTCCCCCCGCCCTCGCCCCGCGCGCAGCCCGCCCCGCAGGAACATGGCGGCGCGGCCGCGGCTCCCGCCGAGCCGGCCCGGCCCTCCGCCGCCGCCGCGCTCCCGGGCCCGCGGGCGAGCGAAGGCGGCTCCGAGCCGTCACCGAGGCCGGCGCGGGCCTGCTCCCAGGCCGCGGCCAGGGGAGCGGCGAGTCCCGCCCGGGGGCTGCCCACGCGGGGTAACAAAGCCCACGCGGCGTGGGGGTGGCGCCAGGCCGCGCGGCCCGCAGCTCCCGCGCCCTCGGCCCACCCTCGCGCGCACAAAGTTTGGGGGCCCGCGGCTCCCGCCCACGTCGCGCCGCCCGCCGGCGCGCAGGTACCTCGTGGGCGCGCCCCCTCCCGGCCCGCGGCCTGCCCTGCCCCATGTGCGCCGCCGCTTTGTTCTGGAGGCGCTTTAACTCTCGCCCCCGGGAGAAACTTTCCTCTCCCGGGCGCCCCGCGCCCCGCGCGCACCCCGAGCCCCGGAGGGGGCGCGAGCCCGGCGGGGCCCGGCCCCGAGGGGCCATTGTGTGCGCCGCGCGCCCCCCGCCCGCCGGAGCGGCCCGGGGAGGGTCTCCGCGGGTCCCGGGCGCGGCCGCCGCCACCTCCACCCTCCTCCCCTCCCGGCCCGGCCGTGCCCCTCCGCCCGCCGCGTGCAGCCCGGGGCAGCGGGTCGCGGCTGCCACACGCCGGGGCGGCCAACGGCCCGAGACCCGCCCGGCCACGCCGCCGCCGCCACGCTGCCCCGGGCCCGCCGCCCCACCCGTCCGCCCGCCCTCCCTCCGGACCGGGCTGCACACAACAGGTTTCACTCACTCGGCGGACGGGCGGGAGGACTCACCGGGAGAAGTCGCCGCCACCATCTTCGCCTCGCCCGCCGTGGGCTCCGGCGCCCGCCTCCCCACCCGCCCCCGCTTGACTACGACCCCGAGGCCCCGGGCCCGGGGGGTGCGGCCGGCCCGGCCCGCGAAGGGGCTCGGCGAGGGGCGCGAGGCTCGGCCGCGCGGCGGAGGCCGTCCCCACCCCCCCGGCCTCGCCCGAGGGCGCGAAGTGGCGCGAAGGCGCGGGTCGGGCGGCGGCGGCAGCACCTCGAAGGACCATGTGGGTGAATGAAGGGCGGCGGCTCCCGCCTCAACGTAAATACGGACAAGCCCCACTCCCTCATTAGCATAAAAAACAAAGTACTTCCGACCTCCCCGCCCGCCCGCCAATCACCGCAGGCCCCGCCCACGGCAGCTCGGGCCAGGCGGTCGGGAGAGCGGGAGCCGAGAGCCGCTCGCGGCGCCGCGCAGCCTTCCTCCGGCCGCGCTCCCCCCGCCGCCCGCCCCCCGCCGCCGCCGCGCGGAGCGCCCGGCCGGACACCTCGCGCCACGCCCCCGCCACGCCCTCCGGGAGCCGGCCTTGCGCGCGAGCAGATCCCCGCGCGCCGGAGCCGCCCTGCTCCCTCCGGGGAGCGCACGCTGCCCGCGGCTCCCCGAGAGCCCCCTTCTCCCGGGAACTCGGCGCGTGTGCGGGGTGACTCCTTATCTACTACTTTCCTGGCTCCGGACGGGTCTTGGTGGTCACTGGGGGTCTGCTTCGTGCCACCCGGAGCCAAAGAGAAGTAACGCCCAGTGACTTACGCTCCCAGGGAAGAGGGATCCTCAGTGCAAAGATCGTTCTGTAGGCAGAGACAAACGCATCACCCCCGAGAGTGATGGATGCCCAAGTGGTTGAAATGTGTTTCCGCCGCCCGGCAGTGTGCAAACCAAAACGCATGCCCGATCGGAGCGGAGGTTTCGCAGCTGCAGTACCTGATCCGCCCCCGACCCCGCGGCATTCAGCAGGCGCTGCTGGCGCTCCCGGAGCCGGAGCCGAGCTCGGCAGGACCTCGTGAAACAGCCACAAAGCCCCTGAAAGGAGCCCACTCGCTCCGGGGCACCTCCTTCTGCACATGGTGGTGTAGGAAATTCCAGCATGCTCAGAAACATCATTGTTAAAAGAAGTGAGCACTCATAACACGACCAATACAGTCATTTTAAATTGGTTTTAAATAATTCAGCACTTAGGAAAAAGCACACACGATTCGGTGATTTTACAAGTCAACTGTAAAAAAACACGTCACCAGATGTCTATAATGTCCAAATGTTAGTTTTGGACATTCACACATTGCTGTTTACTATCTTTCTAATTCATGTGACCATGCCTTGCAAAAATTCAATTTTCAAACTAGTGATGTAAAAAGTGGGTTAACTTTTGTTTTTGCTAATCTTTTATGTTAAGAATCTGTTTTCCGGTATTTCTGTTTTACAAATAAAAAATAGATGGCCAAATCTGAAATTTTACAGTTTTTCATCTTTCTATATTAGTCATTTATTAGTCTTTTAAAGAGGAAAACTGATTTCAAATTTTATCAAAATCTGATTTACATTATTTTTGGTCAGCATTGATTGATATGTCAATTCCTTTTTCTTTAAAACTTATCTTCTGCTTAAAATAAGACTGTCTGGGGAGAGAGGTGCTGTGAGAAAGTATTCATCACACTCTCTGAATCATGGGAAATCCCACCTATAAGCAGGTTTCTTAGCAGGAGAGAGTTATCTCATAGTTTCTTTCCAATTAAGGTCAGCACTGCAATACTCCTAGATTTAAAAAGCTGTTTTTAGACATCTAACAACATTTCTGTGAGTATCTAACATACCAGCAAGTATTTTCTGTGACTACAGTATGAGAGATTTAATTCTTAGCGTACACATTTTTTACGGTAATCAGGATTTTGGAAGATGTAAATTAATTAAAAAACCTGCTTACTTGGAAATCCCAGAAAGTTTCACAATTAGTAGATTGCATTTTATTTTTGAGGGGCGCACTCATACTTCCTTTCAAAATTAATAAATTATTGTCAGTAAAATTAGAATAATTGAAAACTTTTCAGTGAATTTGAAACTTGTAGCCAATTTATTTTTTTTAAAGTCCCTCCTAACTAACTAGAGAAACTCATACTCCTGAATTTCAGGGGCTACAGCTAGGTGTACTTTATAGCTAAACTGAAGATTTTGTGGTTATGATTTTGAAGATCGGAAAAATATCAGAACTGCTAACAAATGCCTTCTGCAACCAAGGAATGTAAAAATAAAACTATCTGAAACCCCAAAGTAGGCAGACACACAGCCTTCTCAAGTTAGCTAAAACACACAGTACTGTTTTACACAATCCAGGGCACTTTAGATGAAATGAGAAGCTCAGTTCAACATCAGGACAGTTTCATATAACTGACTGTTTACATGATATATATCAAGTAGTAGATAAATATCTGTATTTTTCACTTTTCACTCATATGCTTCAGAGCCTTATGGACATAGATGTTATGAATTGAGAACATATAAAAAGTTCTTGAGTTTATTAATTATATTTAGAATTTTACTTCCGACCTTTTGCTGTTTGACTATGTCAGTATTAACCAACTGACTTAATTGTATTTTGAAAGATAGACTCAGTTAAAATATTCTTGTTTTGTAGCATAATTATAGGATTTTAAGAAACTAATGAAGCAGTAATCATATTCACATTACAGATTTGAAAACAAGAATGATACAGAAATCTAAGACAAATCTGATGACCGGTGTTATTTTAAACCTATATTTACATATAAGTTTATATGTTTGCTATTGCAATGAAGTATATTTAATATCTTAGCAATGTGGCATTTTTAACACAGATTCCTATAGTTATTTATTATTTTCTCACAGTATTTAACTTATATCAGGAAGGGAAATAAAATTCAAAATCATTTTGACTTTGGAAAATTAACTGGTTATAAATGAAGAATATTTTGAACTTTTTAAGTAATGTAATCAATGACGCAAATTTAATGATGACACTTTGAATTTTTTACAAGGTATATTTGAAATGCCTGAAACTACAGAGTCTACTCTTTACCATATTAATTACGTTTTATATTTAGAATTTTAAAAGTGTTCAATCCAAATGAGCAGTCATCTATTAAGTGCCCACTATTCTGGCATTCCTTGAAGTAATAACAAGGAATAAGAGCTGGGATAATGAAAGGTTCAAGAACTACAGGATATTGCTGATTACCCTGAATCTTTCACAAATAAGCTGAAAGATTTTTGTCGTCAGATTTTATTTTATTTGTTCCAATACTCTAATAAAATAATTCCACTGATGTTTGGTTATTTTATTTTCCTATTTAACAATTTAGAATATCTACATTGTGTATATGTTGTTTGGTAATCATGCATGTCATAGCAATAGATTATTTGCTACAAATGGCATTCCAAGGTGCTATTAATGACAATAAATTTATAGTGAACACAAAGACCACAATCATTTGAACTCCTAGTCCCATTTATGGTTTTGAAATTAAGAAATAATAAATTATAGGGGGGAAAATGAATAAATGTGTGGTTATGAATAAATAAGTTGAAGAAAATGCTTTTTTGTTGTTTGTATTTTTTAATTTGTCACTGTGATACTCTGTAGAACCAGATGAAAGTAACTAAGAATTATTTAATTAAGAAAATTAGATAGACTAAGTACTACTTGTTGCAATAAAGAGACAGCCTTTGCACTTAAAGAAATTCAGAATGCAGTGACATTACTTAATATATGTAAAATTGTATGGCTTTTAGAAAACTAATACATTTCTAATTAAACATTTAAAGGTGATGTGTCAGTATAATATATTCTAATAAAGCATTTCACTAGTTTTTCACTTGTTTTTACTAGAAGGATGCAATATCAAAATTAGAAGTAGCTTATTTTTTAATTTTTTTTTTAAATTTAATTCAGTGATTCTCAAGCTGGCTATACTTTACAATTGCCCAAAGAGCCTTTAAAACATACAAATACCTGATCATTCCTTGCAGACATTCTAATTTAGTTGATCAGAAGTAGGACCTTAACATCGTTTTTTAAAAAATTCCCAAGTCATGCTTATGTTAAATCAGAACTGACAAGGTCTGATACTTATTTGTTGCACTAGAGCAGTGATTTTCAACCATTTCATCTCATGGCACATATAAATTAATTACTAAAATTCTGTGGCACACCAAAAAATATATTTTTTGCCAATCTGACAAAAAATAGGTATAATTTTGATTGGGTTACAAACAAATAATAGGAGTAATTACCTACACTTTTTTGCTCCAAAGTGACTTTTAAAATTATCAGGTTCCCATAAATTTGTATATTTCTGGTACCAAGAATTAACCAATCAGATGCAACTTTATTACGCAGCGTGACCAATGAGAGGCAACTCTATTATATGACCTATATATTTATGGTTCAAAATAGGGCATTCACACTGGATGGCTATTGTTGTGTGGCTGCTGTCACTTTTTTATTTGACAATCTAAGGCAGCGATTTTCAACTGGTGTACCACAGAATTTTAGTAATTAGTTTATGTGTATCATGAGATGAAAAAGGTTGAAAATCAATGATGTAAAGAAAAAGAGGTTAGTGCCCCTGACTAAATAGTCAGGTATTGCATGTTTTAAAATTCTTGCAGCACACTGGTTGAAAATCGCTGCATTACATAAAGTGTTTGGCCAATCAGCATCTTTAGCTGGTTAATCTTACTAGGTTAATAGGTGCTTGTGTCAGTGTTTATTCACATTGCAAATGTGCATTATTAATACACATAAACCATGAGAAACTTACCCAGGATATTCTAAATCCTTCACCAGAGTTATGGGCATAAAGATTAAAAGAGAAAAAGACAAACCTTCAGAAATAATTTTGAAAAACTTGTATGTTAACTGTAGTAATCTTGGCTTATAAGGCACTTTGGAAAGTTTCAAGTGCTGTTATATTTTTGCTATCTGGATTTGCAACTTAATTTAAGAAATCTACTTAACAATGGAAAAGTATTCCAGATGTAGGTTGTGGTATTTTAAAAAAATTCTCTGTGCCAGACATGTTTAGACATAAGTTAAAAAAATTTTTGCAATCATTTAGCAGAAAGTGGTATATAGAGATCATTAGTGTCATCTCATATTAAAAATAATAAAAATCAGACAAGAAGATGGCCCCAGGTAGGAGAAATGACCAGATACTAATGTTTTTATTTTTTAAAATATATTTTTATTGATTTCAGAGAGGAAGGGAGAGGGAGAGAGAGAGAGAAGCATCAATGATGAGAGAGAA